CCTCTTCAGCCCTTCGTAACTTCGCGTGTACGGTATTGAACCAGCTTGTATTCTGAATCTATGGTCTTGCATTTTCTTGCAGTAACATGTGGCCTCGTTCACTTTAATTATCTTCCTTCGTGAAGACCAGATTTGCAAATACTTTCTTCGAGTAAATAATCTCTGGCAGATAACGCGCTGCATGGGAACTATTGTTATACGAAGGAGACAACCATGCAACTGACTGTTATTGATTGCTTCAGTGCGAGCCAAGCGGTGCGAAGTCTATCAAAAATGTGGAATTTTTGTGGTTGCAAGCCAGGCGCTATACTTCACCAAGTGCGTCGTCTACGGAATTCGACGCCTAAAATCAGTATGCTGTTCAACGTAACGTCGGCGCTCGCGTATAGGAGTGCTGACGTCAGTAACAGCGTAGAGACCTGGGGGCGCGCTAATGTAAAAGCGGCGTTCGTTGACGACTTCTATCTGAAATCAGTCCTGCTGCGTTCCCAAATCACGAAACAGCTGCCACAATAGCGGCGCCTGAATTTATGGACCGTTACAGCGAATGTGCTGTTAGAACTGATGAACGAAGACCACCAAACGCTTTCTTATGAATGCCTTACGCACGCCCCTTTCACATTTCTTGGCGAGAAGCTCAATGATTGGAGTAATTGAGAAACACCGTCGCTCTCTCCTATACATCGTCGTTCAGCTTGAGTCGTTAGCGGTGATGAGCCGACATTGCGTAACGCCGTGATGCGCGCTTTTTTTTGCATAAGCGTGCACGAAGCCGCTAGCTTGGCCGCCTGCCGCGGAAGTTCCTCGCGCGGCTCACCGTCGGTGGGCGTCAATTTGATCGCGCCACTTCGAGGCACACTTCAAGGACGCGTTGCCTAAAAGGATGTCTTCGTCCTATGTGAGAACCGGAATGTGTGGAGTAGGTGCGCAAATAATGCATACGGACCCTCCATCTGACGTTTGTGAATTTGCCAGGCAGGCTGTTGCATGAAGTCCCCAAGCATTGTGAGGCAAAGTGACACTGCCTACTAGATTCACGGGGAATAGGCTCCCAGCGCATCATGTAATCAAAAGCTCGGTGCCGCCGTGTCACTGACAAGACGCAACGCATAGACTTTGTTGTATTCGGTTGTATACGCTGCGGTATATCATATACGCTTCGTAACGAAACGTGTTTTTTCACTGCGCGGCTACACGAGAATGCACAATAGCGGTTAGTCGTGCATACGCGAACAATGGGCATATTTTGCGTATAATATATTACGGGTCTGCGCGCGACGCGTCGGTGAAAAGGAAACTGGGGTTTGCTCTGTTGGCAACGTTGAGTTGACAGGTTGACATGGCAGTTTCTCGAATTTAGTCGCCGCATGGCAACAGATACGAGAAATGGAAAACTTGAACATTAGGTCTACGCAGGGAAGACGTTTCCAAGTTCTCGAAGCAGCGATGCAAGAGCTGCCTCCGACAAGCCTGCGTGGCGCTTTTATAGGAAATCTGAAAAATGTTTCATAGCCTAATTATTCTTGAACCATCTTCAACCTTCGTGGTATTAACTCGACAACGTTAAAGTAGCTTGGGTCACGGAAATTTTTGCCTTGGTTACTGATATATGGAATGCATGTCTAGAACTGAGAAAACCAGTGGCACTCTCACGATGCAGTCAATGAATCTAATTTTGAGATAACGCCACCTTAGCGCATTGAGATATGCGCCACGAAGTATCGATAATGTGTGGCAATAAAACACTGAGCAGCAGTCTACATTCACACATATAAATTCATTGTAGCATGCCATATTTTTCACTGATAGCACAAGCGAGGCAACAAAGTTAAAGAACGGCTGGAAACTTTTTCGCGTTATTAGCGTCAAGTCAAGGCAGCCTCAGCAACACATCTTTCGCGAGACTCGCTCTAAGTCGCTGAAACAGTGAGCGATTCGGTTTCTCGCTTCTCTCGCGTCAACATAATAGGTAACACGACCTTCTCGAAGCCCGCACCAAGGCAAAATTTCGTGCGACAGTGCACACGGCCATATGATATGAAGGTACCGTGCGTACTCGGTTATAACCAGCCCGCCTTGCAACGTTCATATCAGTCCTCAGACTTTCCAATAGCTCGATTTAGTTTTTAAGTACGACAACGTCTTAATGCATAGAACTCTATATAAAAGCAACAGTTTGCAGATCAGACGAGACTACGCAGAGTGGAGTAAAAATGCGTTTATGATTTGAAATGGATTGCTCATTGGATCTAAAAATTCCAACAAAAAATAGGTCGCGTTTACGTAGTCTTAGCTGCAACTCTCATCGAAAAATGGTTGTATTCTGTCAAAAGGCATTTCGTGATGTGTGGATGCCACCTGGCAGTAATGTCAAGAAACAGGAGCTTGTACAGTACCCAGAGTCACTGGCAAGTGGCAGCACCATGTCATCGGCAGTGCGCTGTTTGGTGCATAGCATCAATTTTTCAGCGCAACGTTAGAAACATTGAGTTCGTGTAATGTGTAGAATTACGCAGGGTCTTGAGAATTACGTATCTATGCATTTTATAGTAAAAAAATACACATCACATAATGCTTATTTATTGATGTTGCCCTCATATGGGCGTACTATTCGTTTTTAAATGGGAAGCATTTCTTAGCGAACTTCGGCGACTTTTGGGCGTATCTATCTATCTATCTATCTATCTATCTATCTATCTATCTATCTATCTATCTATCTATCTATCTATCTAGCCGCCTACGACTTTTAGCTCTCCTGGCCGTTTCGATAATGCTATCGACAGCAAACTGGTATAACATAACATGACTGTAGGAAGAACATATTTGACTAGTCATAACATGAAAATCATGACTAGATGTCATGAATGCCATGATTTACATTTCATGGTTCTGGAGCTCCTGTGGTAGTTTCGTTCACATGGCATGTTGCAAAACTGGTATGATATGGCATGATCGCATGGCGAACACAAGTGACCAACCCTAACATGAAAATCATGAGATACGTGTCAGGTAACAACATGACTACATGCCACGCTTATGGTGCACTCGCGGCCGTTTCGCTAGCGTCACATATACCGAATTTGGTATTACGGAACCTGAATGGATGACGAAAGTATGATACTGGTGAAAACATGATAAACAAACATGAGATGCCTGTCATGTAACAACATGACTACTACATGCTACACTCATGATGCGGTCGTGGCCGTTTCACTAGCTTCACATGTACCAAACTCAGTATTACGCGACGCGAACGGACGACATAGGTAATTGACACATCCAAACATGATAATCACGACATGCGTGTCATGTAATAGGACTACATGCCACACTCATGATGCGCTCGCGGCCGTTTCGCTAGTTTCACACATGCCAAATTTTGTATTACGTGACGCCAATGGATGACGAAGGTATGTGACTGGTGCAAACATAATAATCATGAGATGTGTGCCGTGTGAGAACATGACTACATGTAACAGTCAAGGCGCCAATACATTTTGACTTGACGTGGTGCGCGTGCTCGCCGGCGTTCATTTCGTCGCGTCACGCCGGCGTTGCTACGCCAGGAGCCGATCCTGCCATATACTGGCAGGCGCAAGCCGCGCTGCGTTGCTTTGATGCAGGCGCGTTTCAGCGCATCTGGCGTCCCTCCTTCACGAAAAGAGGGAGACGCAGTGTTTTCTGGGTAACACATCGGCACGAAATGCAGCATGTGAAATTTTGCGCCGGTTTCCGTCGGGCTGCGCTGACGGACGCTGGTCGCACTGGTAGCGCCTGGCGTCACACTATTGAGTGCTCGCATTTTCCTAACGTAACGTCGCTGTGCTCAGCGTCCGCGCGCGTCAACGCTACATCGGAGTATAGTGGGCCCTTCATGATGCGCTCGTGGCCGTTTTGCTAGCTCCGCATATACCAAGTTTGGTGTTACGTGACATCGATGGATGACGAAACATATGACTGGTGCGAACATGAGAATCCCGACACGCGTGTCATGTAAGGACATGACAACATACCACGCTCATAGCGTGCTCAAGGCCGATTCGCTAGCTGCACATATACTAAATTTGGTATCACGTGACGTGAATAGATGACGAAGGTAAACGACACATCCAAACATAATAATCATGACACGGAAGTCATGTACGGCATCAATTACCTCCACCTCGTAACGTTGTGCTGATTTCATTTCTCATTCATGCTTCGCATATCATCGATTCCCACCATACGTGGGATCTGCGAATTTTTTGATCGACAGTGTTCCAAACTATGAACGCAGCCACCAGAAAAAGATGGCTGGGGAAAATAGGAGGAAAATATCGGCAGGGAGGTTGACCATGCAGGCTATAGGCAGCCGGTTTGCTACTCTGTGCACGGGAGGGAATGGGGGAGCTGAAAGATAGAGAGAAGAGCGGGAAGAGAGATAAACACAGCACATTAAGCAGCACACGCTGAGGAAGTTCTGGGCGGCTGAAGTGTTCCAGGTGACAAATAGACAGTAGCACAAACAGACCGAAATTTCTGCGTTGAAGTATCCCAAGAAAGGCTACCTTTAATTGTTGCTTATGCATTGACGAAGACGATACCACTTGTTGAAACGCTAACACAATTGACATTTTAAGTTCAGGGATTTCTGATTACTTCAGAATGGGTATGGTATCATTCGGAGACCTTATCTGAGCAGGCCCGGTTGCGTGCTTGGCTCCAATGTGCAGACTTCAGTAAACCTGTCCAGAACTAAAGGTGATCGTTAATACCGAGTAAATACGGTAGTTTTGTAAGATAGTACGCTTCTCGGGTGCGGCGCCCGTCTCATAATTTCTTTTCTTTATAAAGTAATGCGGTGATTTCAGCGCTGTCGGCTCACGTTAAAGCCTTAATGTATGGTTTGGAGCGCTGTCGTCAGGACTGCAACTGGAGTAGCAACATTTCAACGTCCTTTGTCTTCAGCTTTGTTGTTTCTCATGATGGCGATGTTCTTCTTTGTTGTGCTTTATTCGCAGTTGCAACACTAGGGTCAACGTGTGCGGACACTGCTGCTCCGGCGTATCCAATGATCGTGCATTGCAGACGCTATAGACGGCACGTAGGGCTGTACTGAAATTGCACACCACTGAAACGATATACGACCGCCTTGGGGAATTCAGAGGTAAGACATTCTTCCACGTCTTCGAAAGAATCTATCTATCTATCTATCTATCTATCTATCTATCTATCTATCTATCTATCTATCTATCTATCTATCTGTCTGTCTGTCTGTCTGTCTGTCTGTCTGTCTGTCTGTCTGTCTGTCTGTCTGTCTGTCTGTCTGTCTGTCTGTCTGTCTGTCTGTCTGTCTGTCTGTCTGTCTGTCTGTCTTTTCGGGTGTCCGCATGGAGGAAGCAAAAATATAGGAGGGAGCGTTGGACAACGCGATTGAAGCCCACTAAGTCGGCCCAGCACGTGACCAAAACGTCAGCGCGCGCGGTAGGTTTTATTTCTTTCTTGGGGACCTTCGACAGAAAAATTTTGGTCTGTCTGTCTGTCTGTCTGTATGTCTGTCTAAATTTGTCTGTTTGTCCACTCTTAACGGCACTGGTTACTTGAAACGGCCGACCCCATCCGTAGCACCCACCAATGTTGCTCAAGATTTAGCGTTCATACTTGTTCAATTGTCAATTAAAAAGCAATTATTGTGCATGTCTGGGGCATCATAACAACACATGTACATTCTGCATCTGCGTCTTTTACTAGAAAAGGCATACATAATTTTAAGGACCGTAGCGCTTATCACGCTGCGCTGACCACGCAACGCTTGCACGAAAAGGCGAGTGCTTCCAACGCTTTGCTAAGACGAGATGGTGGTGGTACCTACCCTTTGTCTTGCGTTCTACACCTTATCACTTCTGAGACGGGTGCGCACACCCATCTCAGAGCCACGCGCTGCGTTTTCCAAGAAAACTGCCAGATGGCGCTTATGTCTCGCGCGTGACGTGACTTTATGCGCTCGTTCGCCTTCGCTGCAAGCTCGAGGCACTCCAACGTAGCGCCTCTAGAATACCATTCACCGATTTTCTTGCGCAGAACATCAAAGAAATGTTTTGTTCACTCTCTCTACACGCAAGGTTATCGTCTTTCGACGACAATTGCAGAATACATGCAGATACGGGGCCAATTTTTTTTTCTCTTGGTATCGTTTTGTTTTAAAAAGTGCTTCATCGCTCGTAGCGCAGAAGCACTACCGTGAACGCTGTGCTCACGTTTCTGGATTTTGGCATCGAATCGCGGTGTTTCTTCGGAGCTAAAGGAGTTTTCGCTGTCAATGATGCTATATAGACACGTCTCAAGGGATGCAGCGTAAGATTTGCGAGAAGTTGAATAGCGAGTGTTACTATGTGGATGTGCCCTGTTGCAGGTAGGGTAAGCGAACTGCCGGTCAAACCACTACTGGTTAGTAGTAGTCACATCATGTTTCTAAAACAGGCTATGACGTGATTAACTCAAACTATACCGGCAAATAACTGTCCCTGCGGAAACTGCGGCCGGCCGTTCGCGGAGGCAAACAGCCGGTACGATCGCCTTCTGTCGTCACGGCGTCGCGCTTTCGGTGGCGGTTATGCTACGGTGTAGTGGTTATGCTATAAATAAATCAAACTACCGGCAAATAGCTGTACCGCTGTAAACTGTTGGCACTCTTCACTTGACGGCCGCTCGCGAAAAGAAACTCAAACAGATGCCCATGCCGGCAAAGCGCGTTTTGCTACATGAAGCCGGCATTAGCCATGTGACTGCGGCCGGCTAATGACGAAACACTGCCAGGCAAGTTCCACACGAACCATTTTGCTGGCTGCCGGGCGATTATCTACTTCCGGGAAGAATACACAATGAAAATATTCGTCACAAAAGTGTGAGGAATACATGCGTCCTATGCTCACAATGCTCTCGCTAGTTCAACTGAAGTGCACGTCTAACGTTAGCTCGGGATCTTTTCACGACTCGCCCGAATTTCTCGCTTGCACGGAACAAATGGAGCTGAACAAGCACTGAGAAACACTTAACGAGACCCCTATCATAAGTGCAGGTGAGGACGCCGAGCAGAGTACGGATCAGCCGGACGCTCAGTGAAGCGGCCAAACTGCCGCTCTCCCACTAAAAACTACCGAGAACCAAACAAGAACATCTCAGCAAGTCTAGTTTATTGCGTGATCTCACGGCGAAAGGTCACGTCTTGGGCCTACTTTGATGTCTTCAAAACGGGTTGGCTTGGCAAGGCTGGGTCCGTGACGTCATGCTCCCTCCTATGTTTTTACTTCCTCCATGGCTGTCCGTCTTCTGTAGCATCTTTTTTTACGATTGGTTGAAGATAATATTCATACACCAGTGGTGTATAGTTCAATATTTCTCATTAAAATATTGAAGTGCTGTACGTAACCGACTGCTCTGTTACTAATAAATTACACATGTAACTTAGATACACATGATAAGGTATACATTTATTCCTTATCAATATCAGCCCACTTTGTCGTTAATCAGTGCACAGCAAAATTCGCATCAAAAATCAACCCCTCTCTTTAGTCGCACCTTCGCAACGCCTGAAAGAGTCCGCGTCTCTCTATCCAGTAAAACATCCCCATAATATAAGCTATATCTCTCTCGTCCTTGATCTATGATCTCTCCTGAATGTGATCGGTTATCAGTACAGCTTTCTACGTGACCTTCTCACCTCCCTTCAACTTCTCGCTATCGTCTATCTGTGTTTATCCTGGAATCCACACTCTTTATCTCTTCCAACTGTAGCGCGATACCTGTGGCTGCAATGCTTTTCGCTCACACTCTTTGATAATTAGTTTATTGAAGCCCTGAACAATGAGTGCTGAGCGAATAAATGCACTGTTAAATGCGAAGAAGATGCGGCACGTGCACTGCGAAGCGCATCTTTCCGCAAATATGCTTTGTGCAATATTGTGCCGTATTCATTAAATTATGAAGGCGAAATACCTATATGCCTCATCAAACGCGAGAACCTGCCATGGGCATCAGCTTCAACATGAACGATCCAAGAAATCATCTTCATGCGATGACGTAACCTCATGACGTCATCACTGCTGTCACAAGTCGCCAATATTTGTGACTGGATCATGGTTTATCGCATGACATTTCCGCTTGGTCAAATGGTGGGCCAATCGCGCAGGTTGTACAAAACCTATGTTCGATGCAGAAAGCCAAGAGGACTGAGACGAAGAGGAAGAAGGTCACCTTTGCCTTCGGTGTTCCTTCGGGTCGATAAGGCGCCATGCCACGCCTGATGTGCTTAGTTAACTTCAGTTTGCATATTAAGTGTCTTAGAATGTAAACCTCATCACAATGTACGTCAGGACAGGCAGGATAAGTTCTGCAACAATGTGTGTCACCGGACTAGTTTGTATTCCTTGGCGACGTGAACAGTGCGAGATACAAGCAGGAACAAGGAACCGACAAGGAACAGCGCTGGTCCTCGTCAGTTCCTTATTTTTGTATGTCACATGCGCTGTTCACTACGGCAAGGATAAGTTCATCAGGGACGCTTTCTCGTTTCCTTTCCGAGTATCACCATCGTCACCATCATCCCGAATATTCAGCCTCGCTGACCGGGATATACAGAGGGCCTTTGTGTCTCGTACCTCGACACAGAATGCTCCATATAAATGCGCAACACACATTGATGTGGAGCATCGGGCTATTATGTAACAGTAAGAACGTGAGCATCACGCTTCCTATGCCTACAAGCACCGAAGCGCCAGCGGTATGCCCATACAACATCCCCGCTCTCAACTTTGAGCCGTCCTTGCTTCGACAGGGACGCATATTATTCACTGCGCTTTTTTTTTGCGCCGTCATCCATTGTTCGCGGTAACACGATATTACATTGAGGCCAGGACAAAACTATGTCCCTATGGCCACGTGGGTCACATTACTGCGTCACTATATTCGGCGCTTACAAAACCGTGTTTCCGTACGCGCAGGACTTCGATTTTTTTCTTTCTTTTTGTCAAGCTCAACTGTCGAAAAATTAAGCCGCTCAGGTCAGACGCACGTACGTTTTACCCAGCATAAACGGAATCTTTAAAGAACAAGTTCAAAAAAGGTTCGCGACAAGAACTTCAATTCAAAGTAAAAAAACACGAAATTATGTGTAGCGTATACCAACCCAGAATAATTGTAAATTGAAATCTTGACGGACTTGGTTAACTTTTTTTATGACAGACAAGCTTTTTAGGTTTTAACTTTGGGGCTCCTGTAGTATTACCAATATTGTACACACTTTTCTGTAAACTAATATTGTCGATGTTTAAAGGCCTGGTTGGCTGATCTGGAGTCGCTCATAGCTAGCGTCATGGCAGCTCTTTGGCCGCTGCAACAGTGGCTTGTCTAACTGAAGCTGCGTTGAGGATCGTCCCATGTGGATGAGCTACAACAGCTACAAATGAATCTATCTGGTCTGATCTCAAAAGAAGCAGTGGCTATAATCAAGCAAAGACCGCCTGATGCTTTTCACACTACCATTTGGTTCCCAGCGCACATGGGAATGAATATACATCCCACCAAACCCAACACGAATGAACTAGTTCATGACATTACGCGGTGTTCCAATACGCTAGATAATTCTGGTTGGGGCAATAACTACGTTTCATTACTTTCTTTTCATGAAATAGTGAAACACAACTAGCTTGGTCGCAGGAAATTCCCGATTACGCACCCTATATAAGCTATCTAGACATCAATCTTCCACCTTGAGAATGTTACAAACTATATCTTTCCTGTCGAGAGGAAGATGTAGTCGCTTTCCTCCGGACGTCAATCCACACTGCCATGAGTGCCATGAAGAATATTACTCGTTAACTCACATGCTCTGGCAATGTTCGGCATTATAAAATTTCTCCTTTGATAAGTAAGAGGACTGGGAGGAAGGCCTCGAAAGTGCTGACCTCCATAAACAACTAAGAGTTGTCCAAAAGGTCCTGGAACGGGTGGAGAACCATGGTCTTCCGACTCAAACATGGGTGCAGCCTGCAGTTATGACTCTGTAGTTCCTTATGACCCAGATAAAGTTTGTTGACTGACCGACCGACCGACCAACCGACTGACTGTCCATGTTGAAAAAGCTTGAACTTGAACTTTTATGGTGGAAAT